TGAGTTCTTCCCTCGCCGCCGACATCGCAACGGTTCGCCAGCGCCGATCTTTGTTCAGTTATTCGATTCATCAACTGAGGCAAGCATTTCTTCATTGCGCTTTATATTCTCAAGCCTCCGCCTCTCGTACTCCGTCATTTTCTCCGGCACCATTCCAATTTCTGATTTATTCGGGTTAGTTATCAAACTGAAATCAAAGGTAATATCATTAGATTATTCTTCACATTCTCAAGCACACAGCCTAATCCTAGAGAACACCCCTGAACCTTAGAGCCGCCGCTGCCCCCATCTCCTCACTGCCGCCTCCGCCCTTCACTCCAGCCACACAACCGCCGACAGACCATACACACACGACCCCCTAATAGGCGCCACCCAATCGCTACACGGCCAACCATCACCCCTAACACCAGCGAACTCCAGCCACCCAACGCCCACCTTTGAACATCCTTCAGCTGTTACAAACCACCCTTCCACCGCCACACGCACCGGAAACCAGAACATCAGCCACCTNACCCTATCCCTACATGGCCAACCATCACCCCTAACACCAGCGAACTCCAGCCACCCAGCGCCCACCTTTGAACATTCTTCAGCTGTTACAAACCACCCTTCCACCGCCACACACGCCGGAAACCAGAACATCAACCACCTGACTTGTTCTTCTTCAACCCTTAAACACCCCTAAGCAGCCGGTAACTATATAATAGTATTGGGTGATAGATATCCCTTCCATATGATAATATATAATACTATAACTATATAATAATATCGGGTCTTCTTGCCCCACCCCTTTTGTGTCCCAAATCTGCCCCCACCCCCTTATATTCTCGTTTTCTTCTTCTCCTTTCTTTGTACATTTTATATTATTGGGGCTATACCAGTGGTAGCGGTGATAGCTCCTTATGGTTTTTGGGTAGTGGTATTTTCTGTGTTTTCAGGAATTCTCGAAGTATTGGAGACACGTTGGGCGCACGAGCACTGGCAAAGGAGAGCAACCTGGGCGAGTGTCAGCAAAGGGCGGTAGGAAGTGGTGCGTGAGCGTACAACTACATCAAGTACATCAAATCAGCCACAAGTTTTGTTATTGGGAGTTGGTACCTCATGTTTTACTGTTTCCCTTTTGGTGTTAGCTAAATTACTGTTACTTTACTTCACAATAGTTAAACCTTTCAACTAGGATACTAGTTACCAC